AGCAGGAATATCAGTGTGGGTGCAAGTGGGACAGGTCCTAGCTCTCAGTGGAGCTGCTTGTCCCACCAATTACTAGGGAAGCCCAGTTTACTTCCAGATAAGGAGGAGACTTGGACACTTTTAATTTCCAGCTCTGAGATGTCACTTGAAGAGGTCTGCAGTAACACTGAAGTGTAGAGGCGATAGCTACTCAGAGAAAAGGCTGCCACCAGTAGGAAATCGGTGGATTTTGCTAGTCTGGCCCTCAGAATTGACCTAAGAATTTTGGCTAAAACTAGGCTTAAGCAAAAATTAAGCCAAGGCAAGCATGCGGCATGGAAAACTTCAGCCCAGACAGCAAGTTAGCAAAGTTAAAAGCAGCTGAACAACTGGGTCCTGCAATGGAAAGTGTCCATACCAGATTTACATGTTTTATAGGCGTAGGCACAGCCATTGTTTTTTATAGGAGCTTTGTAAGGTATCTTACAGTTTGCTTGCTGTGTTTTTAGGCATTTGAGAGCACCCTGAAGTCCTGGGAGGACAAACAGAAGTGTGAGTTGTCCCGACCCTCTTCTTTCTCTCTGCAACCAGAGATCATGTCCGAAGAAGAATCCACCCAGATCAACCAGTTTGGTCAAGCTGCAGGTGCTCTGATCCACAGGTGGGACTCCATTTGCTTTTGGTCAATAGAGCCCTCCTTTGGTGCCTGAAGTTCTTGTTGTACTCCGTGTTCCTGGAGATGTTTCTGTTCACTCTTATCTTCTGCAGTGCTGGTCTCTGTCACTGAGGGTAACATCATTCATTATACATTGTCCCAGCTGCATGAGGACTGAAGTCGAATAAACTTTCTTGGTCATTCTGAACAAAAAATGTTACTTTCATGAGCAAACATGGATCCTTTAAACCAGAAAGAATGCATTATCTTTGAACATCAATGATTTTTATCAGAAATGGAAGAAAGGCCTCTCTAGGAGCTCAGATGACAAGCTGGGTTCTTACAACTCTGATGCCCAGCAGAGATTGCTGGAAGAAGCCACTGTATGCTCACCTGCTCATCCTTTACTTGGACATTCAGGTCCTTGGTCTGGACCTCTGAGAGAAAATTCCCAGAGTCGCATCGGAGAAGTGTTAATTAAACTGCCGTATGTGCAGCTGCCTTTCACATCACTATGGCCATACTGAAATGTCTAGGTTGTGTTTCAGACTGATCTCAACTTGTGTGCAGAATTGAATACGTGCCTGGAGTTGTGCTTGTGAAATCTGCCTTGCTTTGCTTATGCATGCTTACTATAGCAGGGAGAATTGCCCTGCTTTGCCAGAGGCTGTGCCCCTCCCATGCTTTATCCCTGCTATTGTCACTCAGATGGGTATTAAAAGGAGATACCCAGTCAGAAAAGATCTCCTGCTTTGAGCGTATGCTGATGCAATCTGTAATTCTCTCTTTAGCATTCGGGAAATAGCCCAATCCTATCAGGACATGGAACAGGAGCTTGCCCATGCTGTCAATGCCAGCTCCAAGTCAATGGACAAAGTCTACGCTAAATCCAAGTCTACAGAGGTACTTCACTCACTTGGCATCTCCCATTTTGTCCTTGTTCCATAGCTCTTGGTTTTCCTTTCTGATTGACCAACAGTAGGCCTTGCTTGTCTAAGACTTCTTCCTTTTGACTGCTCAGACCTCTGCATTTCCAGGCTTAATTTGCGCATGAATTGCTTCCCTGCAGGGTCTCAACTGCAGCCTTGTTGTAGAGATGGTGAATAATGTCAAAGCCCTGCATAATGAGACAGAGCTGCTGCTGGCGGGCAAGATGGCGCTGGTAAGAAGCACAAAGCAGGAGTAAAGCAGCCTCTCACTTTCTCTCCTCTCCTACTGTTGCCTTGGCAAGCAACACTTTGCTGGACTTGGTCTTTGTAACAAGTCAGTTTAAATGTTATAATCAAGGCATTTAGGATGGTGCTGCTACATAAGCATGATGAGCAGTCAAGCTAGCTTGTGCGGAGTTTGGAGCTCAGAAAGGGTGAAAATCATTAACTTGGTAATGTCTGGGCAGAGTGCCTGCTGTGCACTTCCTTTTAAAAGGAGGAACTGCTTTGTTACCTAGGAATATCAAGGCAAGTGCCTGAGTGTTCCACCATATGGCTTTTAACTCTGCTTTGCTTCCATTTCTGATCCAGCAATTAGATCCTCCACAGAAGGAGCAGCTCCAAGCAGCCCTAGCAGACATGGACCTTCAGCTGAGGAAACTAGCAGACATTCCTTGGCTGTGGCAGCTTATGGAGCCCTGCGATGAGGAGGTGAGGAGGACCAAGGCTGTATTGCCCAAACTAATTCTCTTTTTCACTAGTTGGCTGTGAGTGTTTGACTTCCTGTGAATATATGACTGATGTGAGAAAAAAATCACTAAAAAGGAAGCTTGGCTCCCTAGGGCTAAAGAAAGTAATTTCCTGCTAAGGTCCCTTGCCTGACATGGGATCAACTTTCTCTCTTTCCTTTCCTGTCTTGATCAGAGTGATTTGAGAATTTTTTTTGCTCTCTTAAAAGGCCATGGAGCTGAGCTTGACAGTACTTTGTTGCTCTTGGTCTGTTCCAATCAATTTATGACTGTTTACCTGATTTTCCCGTTTTGTTCTTACAGAACCAGATGCTGGATTATTCTAAACGCAGTCGCAGTGGCAAATTCCGTCTGGTGACCAAGTTTAAAAAGGAGAAGAACAACAAAAATAAGGAGACTCATAGTAGCATGGGATTGCCGGGTACCAAGTCTGCTCATTCGTTGTGTCTCTTTGTCACATCGGTGTGGTCACACCACTACTTGTTCCCTGTTTCCTCTCACGTTCTCTCCTTCTTCTGTTTCATGTGCATCTGCCTTTTCTTGGAGGTCTCATCTGTCTTTTTCATGTGGCAAAGTAGCTTATTGCTCCATTCTGTCTAAGTCATGGTCCCCCAGCACCACGCAAATATTCCTGAGCAGAAGCAGAAGGTACCCTCTGAAGAATTATGCCTACATCCAGACATTTTCAGGGATACTTTAGGGGATCCTTAATGAAGTGAATTTGAGGGTTTTGGCATTTTAGGTATCAAAATGACTGTGGGGCCCAAGTCCGCATAACTCCCGTCTTTTCACTGCTAGTTCTCTGATATGGTTAATGATGTTTTTCTCATTGATTCACCCTCAGGCTTTAATCAAGTTTCATGTCTAACTGGCTGGGGATCAGCATCACCACACGTGCACCCTGACCTTTAATCCTACTGGTCAGTAGACAAAAACTGGCCATGAATCAACAAATTGCCATTCAAGACACTTTCTCCCCAGTTGGGTTCATTGATTTTTGGTTTATGCTCTCCTGATGAAGACTCTCTTCTAAAATTCAGAAGTATTGCCTGTTCTGTGGGCTCCTGGGTTCTGTCCTTTGCTGCGGAGTTGTGGGTACAGTCTCCTTCTGTCTGACAGGCTGGTGCTCATTCGTTGCTTCCCAGAACTTGGGAACTTTATTATTCTCCTATTTAGAGGCTGTGCAAGAAGGTGGAAGTCCTAAACTCTTCCTTTCTCCCCATCAGACTTGAGGGAGAGAGGTTGCCATTTTTTTTTACTGAGCACAAGTACTTGTACATAATAGCAAACTTAAACCGTGCTTAATTCTTCATGATATATTTTATGAATCTGTTGTTTTGTAAGCAGAGGAATATCAGTGAACTTGCTCTTCTTAAATATGGTGTTAAACTTTAAAAAGCATATCCAATCTCATCAAAACAAACATGCACTTCCTCCTGGCTTTACTGCAGCTAGCCTCTGCTTAAGAGAACACCTCTTACCTTTCTCTGCCCTACCTCCTTTGTTTGAGACTGTAGGCCATGCTGCCAGTCCTTGCCCTCCCCTTGATTTGAGGCTGTGGTACTGCTTGCCCTCCTTCTCTGGCACTGAGTGCTGATGGCGTCCTCATCTCTCACTGTCTTCTGGGATTCTGGGTACTCAATGCACTCCTGCTTTTCCATCTCTAACAGTTCACCTCTGGGGAACGGAGGAGGTTGCGGCCTGGCTTGAGCATCTCAGTCTTTGTGAGTATAAGGATATCTTCATCCGGCATGACGTCCGGGGCTCTGAGCTCCTGCACCTCGAACGGAGGGACCTCAAGGTACTTTCATGATCAGCTCGTGAGAAATAGCCAGCTGCATCTGCATGACCTGTGCTGAATGTGCTTGGAAGTGGTCTGCCCGCTGTTCATTCCACGTGCCTTGGCAAGATGAACGGGTTCATTGCAGCCTCATTTTACTTTCTCACCCTTTCAGGTCACCCGATTTTTAATAGCAGGGAGGTAGAACAGCTAGTTGAGGGACCAGCTGTCCAGTTCTGCCACAGATTCCTGGAGATGTAATACAGTCCAGTACACAGACTGCAGATAGTGTTCTTGAGAGTCTCTGGTTCTAATAATGGAATAGAAGTTTTCAATTTCTTAGCTACCATACCATCTTTGCAGAACATGCTGTGATTGGGAGAATTTGGTACTTAATGTTGTAGTGACTGGACAAATAGATCACTGCACTTCTTTGTTACAAGAAAAAAAATTATCATGGTCTTTGATGAGGCTGCTAGATGGAGAGAATCTTTTTAATTAGGGCTTAGTAACCACATTGCACAGCTTTTCATCCTCTCACTAGGAGATGCTTTCTCTACAGAGAAAAATTGAAAGTGGTGGTTCTTTGCATGTGCAAGAGACTTGTGTCATCATTCTGGTGACTTGCATGTAGCAGAAAAATACTTTGTTGTAAAGTAGTGCATGGCATTTGTTGAATGCCCCTTGGATCTTCATTTGTGATTTTGACCATCTTTCTGTTCTGAGGTTTGCTGTAATCTGTGCAGCTGATTCTCTGTGTGCCATCCAGCTACAAGCCTGTGTTTTGTTGCATGGTACCCAAGTGTTCACACATTTATTTGATGTGACTGGTTGGTTCTTCCTGCATGTTTTGGCTACTAGCTTAGGTCCTTGACATCTGTATGCTCTTTCTGTTCCCTTGCTTTGGCCTTTAACAGTCAAAGCAATCTGCATTTCTGGCTAATGGTCTGCAGTTGTTTCTCTCCATTGCTCTGTGCCTGCTCTGTGTTCATTACCCTGCCATGCTCTGATAGCTTTTTGACATGTGGTTTGAGGTTCCCTATATAACCATCAGGTTTGTAATCTTTCTGGTTGGTTTCCTCCTCTCTTTGTAACTGGCTAACTGGTTTGTAACCATTGCTTAGCCATCTGGAGTTTCCCCCTTGCCTTCCTCCGTAAGGTAAGGTTTTCTCTTTTCTTCCAGGATCTGGGTGTGACCAAAGTGGGTCACATGAAGAGGATACTGCACGGGATCAAGGAGCTGAGCCGGAGTACTCCTGCCAGCGAGGTTTAGCCTCTATTTTCACAGCCTGTGTCTACCATTCCCCCTAACTGCACAGCAGTCACCTCACAGAGCAGATGTGCTCACAACTGTCTCTGCTGAACAGCCAAATTGTAGCTGTTCAGAGCTCATATCAACCAAGCATGGTGCTACCTTTTTTCCTGTGGGGTACGGCTGTATCCAGTCGAGAGGCACCTTATCTGCGGTCAGGCAGAGCCTCCCGGAAGAAAACTCACTTGCTGTTTGAAGAACCGTGTCCTCCGACGTGGGAAGTTCTGGTTCCAGTGACAGTGCAGGACTCCTGAGAATTGCAACACAGCTACCTTTACTGGATAACTTCATTGCAGTAGAATTATTCAGGGCAAAAGATATATTGGCCAGTCTTAGTTCAGGAGCATCTGATGGTCTTTTCAGACCCAAGACTTTCCCACTCATCTGTGTGTCACACCTGTATCTTAGAGCATTTAAGTGGGACAAAGCTTGTCCTTGTGTTTTACTAATCCCTTTTTAAGGCACCTGTAGTTGCATGCGATTTGCATCCGAAATTCAAAGCCAGTACAGACCTCCTCTTGCCAATGAATACCCAGTGATTCTCACTCACTTATGCCTTGCAACAAACAATGCATGTGGTTCAAATGGCAGTTCACACCAGCTTGTGGGGTCTTCCCCTGGGCCTGGCTCTCCTCTTTCAGCCGGGGGCAATGGTACAACCTTTAGGTTTTCAGACATCAGAATTGTTCAGAAATTCCTGGCACTAAGACAAAATTTTGGAGAGCGAAAAGATTACAGGAGATCAGCTCTGACATTTTCCTTTCTGAATTCATCTTCAGGAGACCAGATGAAAGGGAGAGGAACACTAACTAGCTGTTCGGGCTGTTCGAGAGGTGTAATGTAATGGAGTGAGATATGGAACGATTTGCTCCGTCTTGGTGGGGGGAGCAGCATGACTGGCAATGGCCAGGAGCAGCTTCTTGCCCATTTAGTGCCACCTTCATGGCCACAGGCAACAGAGCTGTTTCTTTACTTCAACTTGTGGTGCAGAAAACTATTTCTGTCAAAAGATAGATTTATCTGTAGTACTTGCCTCTTTTCACCTGTCTTGGTTCTAGTGACTTTTCCACCTTGCTTCTCTCTCTGTTGCCTTGCTGCTTCACTCCAACGTGGATACCAAAAGATGAGGGTGGCTCAGTCCTCCTGGGTTGTACACCTGAGAGAGATATCAAACATCAGGGTTCCTGTAAGAGCACTGAGGGAAGGAGGATTTTTGCTGAGCAGTTGAGCATTGTAATGAAACTGGAGAACATTGGTAAATCGCCTTTGGTACCACCAGCAGTGGAGCATGGAAAAATTTGTGCCTCTGAATCAGAGTTCCTAGATGGCCTTCAAAACAGTCGGGTGACTGTTAAAGCCCGAAGACCAGCATGCGTAGTTATATTGCCATGTCTATCACCACAAAGGGAATTCAGGAACATTCAGTGCTGTAAAGCTGGAGAGAGAGCAGGAATTTTTAATTACTTTGTCATTTTGTATGTATTTATTTTTTTATTCTTACAGTGGCACCTGTCTGGCTATGGCTGCAGACAGAAGAATGGCCACGTACACCGTAGCATAAAATATAATATCCTGAGGACATTGTTGTTCTTTGTTATTTGCAAGGATTTTATAAAATTGACATCAGCTCTCTAGTCTACCAACAATCAGTCAAGTTATTTTATATAAACACTTGTCAGTTTAAAAAGGTTATGGGCTGATTTCATGCTGGGCAAACTCCATTGCGTTCTTGAAGATTTCACCAAGTATTATTCTGACTTTCCCTGTCTGTTTTTAACTAGCTGTCATTCACCCACACGTCTTCTCTCAGCCTAGCAAGTGACAGGTTTTGCTCATGAGAATTTAATAGAAGTCTAAACACGCTTTATCCAGCTAGCAAAATTTCTGGTATAAATACTGTGGGGACTGAGCAAGAACTATGTTCAGCTTTGCCCTGAATTTGTTTCTCCTATCTATACATCGGCAGTTGCTTCCATAGCCATATTTTTTCTTTATCACTGCAGCCCTGCCCCCCCCGGCCTCATATTGAATTCCTGAGGTACCAGATAAATAAGAACTGTAGACATACTGTATTTTTTCCCACTTGCTTGCTGAGGCACAGAGCAGCATCTGCATGAGAATGAGGAGAAACCTCCACTAAGGAGAGCTCCAGGATGCAGGCATCCTCGCTGGTGACAGTAAGGTGCAGCCCGCTGCCTGTCCCCGGGAGCGTGCATGGGTAGGACATTCGTGTGCCTGCCCAGTAGAGTGCAGCAGGGAGCACAAGGCAGGTCATAAATCTGGAGAAGAAGTGAGATCTGTGGTTTTTCCTGTGCCTGGTGAAGGAGTTGGTCTTTCTGTGAAGTTTCTCCAGGCAACCTTGTGGTTAAAGGTGCACAAACAATATGCACTTGCCTTGCTTGCATAATTCCTGGGAGATTAAATTTTTGCCTCAATAGAAGCAGCTTCTCTCTACTCTTCCAGGGGAATCCAAAGAGTTTTTACATTCAGGCATGTTCCTTAATTCATGCCATATCTGTAGAGGCCTGACAGCCATTAGCCGTCTGCTTTGAGTGATGGTGCCTGCACAGACTAATCTTCCTTTCTTTTACTTTTGTGATCTGTTGTGTTGATGGGTTCAGATCCTTTTTGTGTACATGCACATTTTATCAAAGGGTTCATAGCCAGTATATTCCTGTCTGTTGCTTACCAGAGGCGGGGAGGGAGTTCTGCCTTCTTTTAAGAGCTAGAAAATGGGACCCACGTTTAACCTGAGTGCCTTTGAATATGTATTGAGGTTTATATCTAACAAAAGCGTTATAGCTCTGTGTGTCTCACTGGGAACAATGCAGATTTCTGGTGCAGAGATTTTTGTGAATAGGTGAGGACAATTTGTGTCAAACGTCAGTGAGAGCTATCTGCAAAGTAGGGAGCCAGGCTGGACTGGCTACAGTATTCTGAGTTCCTCTTCTGGCATCTGATAACTTGTTGTGGGAGAGAAACTCGGGAAAGACAATTAGAATGTACAGAAATCTGCTGCTTTGCCAAGAAAAGAGACTCTCCTGCAGTCTCAGGTAAAACACCAGCTTGAGAGAAGCTAGAACTGCACATATCATGCATATGTTTAGTCTCTTAAAAAATGCTACTCATGTGCAAGCTGCGCGGCACCTTCTGTTTATCATCCCTCACCCTTGGCAGGGATGCTGGGGCAGTGTCTGCAGTGAGCTGGGCATACGGTTTCTTCTGCTAGGAAGAGGTTTCAGTACGTTATCTCACATTCTGGCGCCGCCCTGGATATTTTGACTTTAACGGCAAGATTCTGGGGAATAACGTACCCCATATTATGATGTTCCGGTTCAGCGGGAGTGCATGCAATGGAGGCTTGAGGGAGGTCTGGCCCATCAAGCAGCCATGAGTGGCGTCCTGCTCTGGGCTACCTTCGGGAGGGCTGTTGGCGCTGATGCGGTCTTTCTGGTTTCGCTTGCGGGATCTTGGCGCAGAGCGCTGGCTCTTTGCGGCAGAGGGGAGCTGTGCTGCTTGGTGCCCGGAGGTGCCGGCCTGGCTGGACCCCAGAGCCGGGCGCCCGGGAGCCTCCGGCTCTGCCAAGACCTTCAGTGCCCGTTCTGGGAAC